GGTCAGACTTCACTGGTGGTATGTGACTAGGTGATATAACACAAACTACAGACATCCTGGGATCTTTAGTGTGTGAGGTCAGACTTCATTAGTGGTATGTGACTAGGTGATATAACACAAACTACAGACATCCTGGGCCTGGGATCTTTAGTGTGTGAGGTCAGACTTCACAAGTGATATTGGACTAGGTGATATAACACAAACTACAGACATCCTGGGATCTTTAGTGTATAAGGTCTGACTTTACTAGTGATATTGGACTAGGTGATATAACACAGACTACAGACATCCTGGGATCTTTAGTGTGTGAGGTCAGACTTCACTAGTGATATGTGACTAGGTGATATAACACAAACTACAGACATCCTGGGATCTTTAGTGTGTAAGGTCAGACTTCACTAGTGATATTGGACTAGGTGATATAACACAAACTACAGACATCCTGGGATCTTTAGTGTGTAAGGTCAGACTTCACTAGTGATATGTGTCTAGGTGATATAACACAAACTACAGACATCCTGGGATCTTTAGTGTGTGAGGTCAGACTTCACTGATGGTATGTGACTAGGTGATATAACACAAACTACAGACATCCTGGGATCTTTAGTGTGTGAGGTCTGACTTCACTGGTGATATGTGACTAGGTGATATAACACAAACTACAGACATCCTGGGATCTTTAGTGTGTGAGGTCAGACTTCACTGGTGGTATGTGACTAGGTGATATAACACAAACTACAGACATCCTGGGATCTTTAGTGTGTGAGGTCTGACTTCACTGGTGATATGTGACTAGGTGATATAACACAGACTACAGACATCCTGGGATCTTTAGTGTGTGAGGTCAGACTTCACTAGTGATATTTGACTAGGTGATATAACACAGACTACAGACATCCTGGGATATTTAGTGTGTGAGGTCTGACTTCACTAGTGATATGTGACTGAAGTGATATGACAAATTACAGACATCCTGGGATCTTTAGTGTGTAAGGTCTGACTTCACTAGTGATATGTGACTGAAGTGATATGACAAATTACAGACTGAAGTCTGTGTTACATTTTAAAGTGTTTATTCTACACAAGGAAATAATGAAACAAGGATGAAACTGACATGTAAATAAATGTTTTTTTAACACTAAGTTACTATATTTTACCAAGAAACCTAAATAAATGGTTTTTTAACACTAAGTTACTATATTTTACCAAGAAACCTAAATAAATGGTTTTTTAACACCAAGTTGCTATATTTTACCAAGAAACCCAAATAAATGGTTTTTTTAACACTAAGTTACTATATTTTACCAAGAAACCTAAATAAATGGTTTTTTTAACACTAAGTTACTATATTTTACCAAGAAACCTAAATAAATGGTTTTTTAACACTAAGTTACTATATTTTACCAAGAAACCTAAATAAGTATTTTATTTAACACTAAGTTACTATATTCTACCAAGAAACCTAAATAAATGGTTTTTTAACACTAAGTTACTATATTTTACCAAGAAACCTAAATAAGTATTTTATTTAACACTAAGTTACTATATTCTACCAAGAAACCTAAATAAACGGTTTTTTAACACTAAGTTACTATATTTTACCAAGAAACCTAAATAAATATTTTATTTAACACTAAGTTACTATATTTTACCAAGAAACCTAAATAAATGGTTTTTTAACACTAAGTTACTATATTTTAACAAGAAACCTAAATAAGTATTTTATTTAACACTAAGTTACTATATTTTACCAAGAAACCTAAATAAATGGTTATTTAACGCTAAGTTACTATATTTTACCAAGAAACCTAAATAAATGGTTTTTTAACACTAAGTTACTATATTCTACCAAGAAACCTAAATAAATGGTTTTTTAACACTAAGTTACTATATTCTACCAAGAAACCTAAATAAATGGTTATTTAACACTAAGTTACTATATTTTACCAAGAAACCTAAATAAATGGTTTTTTAACACTAAGTTACTGTATTCTACCAAGAAACCTAAATAAATGGTTTTTTAACACTAAGTTACTATATTTTACCAAGAAACCTAAATAAATGGTTATTTAACACTAAGTTACTATATTTTACCAAGAAACCTAAATAAATGGTTATTTAACACTAAGTTACTATATTTTACCAAGAAACCTAAATAAATGGTTTTTTAACACTAAGTTACTATATTCTACCAAGAAACCTAAATAAATGGTTTTTTAACACTAAGTTACTATATTCTACCAAGAAACCTAAATAAATGGTTATTTAACACTAAGTTACTATATTTTACCAAGAAACCTAAATAAATGGTTTTTTAACACTAAGTTACTATATTCTACCAAGAAACCTAAATAAATGGTTTTTTAACACTAAGTTACTATATTCTACCAAGAAACCTAAATAAATGGTTATTTAACACTAAGTTACTATATTTTACCAAGAAACCTAAATAAATGTTTTTTTAACACTAAGTTACTATATTCTACCAAGAAACCTAAATAAATGGTTTTTTAACACTAAGTTACTATATTCTACCAAGAAACCTAAATAAATGGTTATTTAACACTAAGTTACTATATTTTACCAAGAAACCTAAATAAATGGATTTTTAACACTAAGTTACTATATTTTACCAAGAAACCTAAATAAATGGTTTTTTAACACCAAGTTGCTATATTTTACCAAGAAACCTAAATAAACGGAAATGATTTTATTTAAGTTTCGTTTGTTTATTAGTTTACACATATTTTATTGATATTAGATATGACACTAGGTTTATCAGTAAGTTTTACCAACTAATAAATTGTACAACTGTGACAGATTAAAAAGTGTTGATAAACAAATCGGTGAAACATTGAAGGAGGGGAGCATTTTCTTAACTCATTTCTCCGAATGGCAAGTATGTCGCACAGCATCAAGTTTTTCATTTAAATCACATTGTATAAACCAAGATACATAGAGTCCCAATATTGTGCCTGTTGACATGGCAGGATCACTGAATGCCAAGTTTCTCAAATTAATGATCATAGCATTTCTCAAATGAATTATCTTTTTAACCCAGTTTTATGATCACTTTAGTAAAATACGTAAAAATCCTCGGTAAACGACTTTTGAATAACCTATGGGTCAAAGGTCCTGGTGTTGTATTTGTAATAGGCTATAGGATGAAAGTTTTATGACCCAAGAGGCCATGCTTCATGATCTTGGGCAGGAAGCTGCTAGGACACATGGTTGTTCAGACGGTTTCCAGATATTTTGATAAAACAGCCAACAGCATGCTAGGATGACGTAACAAAGTCAGTACAAATATATGGCTTTGATCACCTTCCAAGGCCACAAAGGATAAACATGCAAAATTGAAGGCACAGGCGATTTAATTTGATTGGTTCCAGGAGAGAAAAAAACTGACCAATCACAGGCTGATACGTTCCGAAGATCACAAAGGAGCCATACCCAACTTCAGAGCCAGTACAATATAAAGTTATGCGATTCGTATGATGTACATCAAAGGATCAAACTTATCTTTTCGTTTTGTTCACAAGGTGTCGCACATGAAACCTTCAATTTTGCCATTACAAGTTCCAGGGGTGCGGAGAGGAAAAATTATTGTCATCCCTGAAGTATCGAGGATGATTTTGTTGGTACGTCCGTTTTTGTGTCATAGTCTTATAACAGTCTAAGGGAAACGAATCCTACTAGAAGTTGAACTTCAATAAGAATTAACGTTTCAAATGTCATAAAAATTTTAAAACCCAAAAACGCGTTCGAATTTTACATACTTGAAATTTTAACTTAAATCCTGCAAAAAATCATTTAGGCATACTATATAAAATTTATTCTATTGGAAACAAACGTACCAAATTGTTTCGCATGAAAGGTCTTGCTGTGACGACGAAAGTGGAGTAATGTGGGAAAACAAAAATCCCACGTGGTAGGGCAGGTGACCACATACTTTTTCGCGTCCGATCGGATAACAGGTCGCCTAGGTGAAAAAGCCAAAATCCTGCACATTTGGTTTACGTTGGTGGTGATCCTGACTTGCAAGGGCGGATTTAAGCCTGGAGGCCACCTCCTAATTCCATGTTTTCGGCTCCGAGCCGGGATGGTGGACGGGGTGTGAAAAATATTGAATAATAATAATAAAAGTATAGTTTGTAGTTATTTACCTGGTCAAAAGAATATAGTCTGTACGTATTTACCTGGACAAAAGAGTATAGTCTGTACGTATTTACCTGGACAAAAGTGTATAGTCAGTACGTATTTACCTGGACAAAAGAGTATAGTCAGTACGTATTTACCTAGACAAAAGAATATAGTCAGTACATATTTACCTGAACAAAAGAATATAGTCAGTAGGTTTTTACCCGGACAAAAGAATATAGTCAGTACATATTTACCTGGACAAAAGAGTATAGTCAGTACGTATTTACCGAGACAAAAGAATATAGTCAGTAGGTATTTACCTGGACAAAAGAATATAGTCAGTAGGTTTTTACCTGGACAAAAGAGTATAGTCAGTAGGTATTTACCTGGACAAAAGAATATGGTCAGTACGTATTTACCTGAACAAAAGAGTATAGTCTGTACGTATTTACCTGGACAAAAGAGTATAGTCAGTAGGTATTTACCTGGACAAAAGAGTATAGTCAGTAGGTATTTACCTGGATAAAAGAATATAGTCAGTACGTATTTACCGAGACAAAAGAGTATAGTCAGTAGGTATTTACCTGGACAAAAGAATATAGTCAGTAGGTATTTACCGAGACAAAAGAGTATAGTCAGTACGTGTTTACCTGGACAAAAGAATATAGTCAGTAGGTATTTACCTGGACGAAAGAATACAGTCAGTAGGTATTTATCTTCGCAAACGATTATAGTCTGTAACAATATTTACAACTATATATAACACTTGTTTTCTTAATAGCGAGTTTAATTAAGCGTACAATAAAAGATAAAAATAAAATGAAATGCTTTACAAGAAAAAGAAGATAAATCGATACTTTTATTTTAACCTAAGAGTTCCATATATACTGTATATTAACCACCCACCTGATAATGTTTGAGTGAATATTATAATTTCATTATTTCCTTCTGTTAAATGTTACAAACACTTGTTAAAAACGGAGGAAGTAGGTCACTCTTAACATCTTTTTACGACATAATTGCCTTAATCTGGAAAGTCATCACATGATCCTGAGTTTAATAGGAAGTAAAGCAACGATAAACAAACCAAATATGATACCAGAGGGCCTGGTCACGACACCCAAAGCAGTGTGCACTTATTTCAATCAAGCTTCCTAGCAGACCACTTGTCTGATTTTGATCTGATATGGTAGAAACGATCACAGGCAGGTGAGCATCAGAATATTTGTATTCGATGTTGGGTTTTCTTCAAGATAGAATATGACATTTCGAAGTATATCCTTACAAATCTCATACAATAAAGTAGAGTATGTACATTTTCAGGTAATATAACTAGAGGAATCATGATGAAGTACTGCAGTAATTTTAATATATATTTATAAACAATAAAACAGCAATATTATCACTGCATTCTTCAAATCCACTCTCAGCTTGTTTGTCACGACATTTACATGGTTTTGTATACACGAAGCGGTAACATCAACGTAGGACATAATTATGATACAAACAGAAGGCGCCACTGAATTTAACCGATATTACCGATCAGCAGACATTATTTCTCTTCCGTTAAAACATATTCAAACTTATTGGTCAGAGGATAATGGTCAATTGTCACGTGCTATCCTTCATTGCTTACTTGTGACAATTTCTTGATCACATGGTATGAATTTTTTGATCACGTGCACCGGTTATTAGTCACGTTTTACTTTTCAATAATAACATTGTATCATTCACGTTGCACGTTTGGTTATTCTTTGTGCCAACGTTCACGTGATGCTATGGTTCATTGGTCCTCGACCGGTTTCGCATGTCGACTTTCCAGTGCACACTCAACATCCACGTAAATACAATCTTCCTTTTCGGACATAAAATCAGTCGACCGTAATATGTCCAGCACACCATCTATAAGTATAAAAACAAAGCTGAACATAAGCTACAAAATATCTCGGCCATAACAAGCATTCTGTCTTGTGTAGAAATTCTTCCCGTCGGTGTAAATTCACATACATCCCAATAATGCTACTGACAACCCTAAGTAAGCAAACAAGTAAACAAAGAAAACAAATTAAAAAAAAAAACACAAAAAAAATCAGATTAGTATTGCAGTTGACACACAACTTTCGTAACCTTTATATACAATTCAAAATGTACTCGACATTCAGATATAAAAGTATCAAAATACTAGCATGACTTCCTCTGGGGATTCCGACGTACAAAACGCAGATGTGTGTATTAGACACAATCACCATTGATACATACCATTGCATCCGGCCAACATCACATCCACATCCACATCGTTGTATTCATTAAATACCTGTAGACAAAACGAGAAAAGAATCGTTGACTGTGGTTCGCTTACCGGGCGTGGAGGGTCGCTGGTGATATCATAAACACATTTGAATAGTACTTTAGAGAAAGAGTAAACGACGGGAAAATGGAGGAATAATTAATTTTCAAATTCATCCAAATCTCTTATTGTGAGAATCAGCAGCAAATTTGTGACCAACCATAAATTTTAAAGTCTGTGGACTTGATGTAAGGAGAATAGTGACCTCGCGATATAACTTCGATTTGTATTACGTCATTTATATCATTCACTGTAATATTAGTTATTGTCTGTTCTGTTTCTGTCTCTTCATAATCAATTTAAGTCGTATATGGTCTCCAAACATAAAAAAAACCGCTCGGGATATATAAGTCAGTGTTAATCGTATAGCGGTCATGTCAGGTAAAACATCTACTGACATTCATTCCACTCAAACAAAGCATTTTTCTGACCATGTCAATCAGGGAAAACGCTCAACTGACCATGCTTGTCCATTCGGAACACCTCGCCTCGATTACACTTCCTTTCATCAAAGGACGATTACCTCGTAGGAATCAGCCGTGGTGTTCCGATAGATGTTTGTCAGTTAAACATTCTGCTGACCATGTTTATGATGTAAAACATTTAAAACATTTAACTGACCCTTCTAAGTGTCTTTACGCCGACTATATCCAAGAAGGGAACGCCTTCCATGTCCAGTAGTATAGTCTCTCGGGACTTCCGGTTGTTTTCTGTTTGGCAAAGTATTATGGCGTCACCAGTTTCTGAATCCGGGATTCCATTTTCTACTGACTGTTGAAACGAAGGAAATAACGAAAATCACACAGGCAGCAGAAACAAGACAAAAATGCGTTACTATATTAACAAAGTCGTATTACAAACATGGAGTCGAAAATTTTAGAGCACTTACATATACCAGGGACGTGTATATTAATGTGATATATACGTCCCTGCATATACATTTACATAAAAAGATTTACATAAACACCACTGAAAATAAACGAGGGGAATAAAAGGAGGGGTTCCGGAAGGGTAAACATTTTTTCTTCATCGACAAAACCCGCCTAGTTTTAATTAGTATTAGAATGGATGCGAAAATGTCTCGATCAAAAGACTTTGATGAAACATTTTGCTGTTAAGAAACCTCACGTAGTCAATACCGACATATCAAAACAACAAAATGCATTTTTATAAGAACCTGAATGGTGATTCAATGTCAAAGTTCAGAATGTGAACAGAGGATGTAAAGGATGTTCAATGAGCTTTCATTTCATGAGATCTTCTCAAACAAGTCTAAGACGTTTTCAATTTTGCGAAATAAAAACAAATATAATTTTTTTTGCCACTTAACTCAGAACGTCAGATTTTAACAGATTTTAAAGTCAAAAGTTAGAGGGCAGAATCAAACCGAGGCAACCATTATGTTGTGCATTTTGAAGTCATAACGGAACAATATTGTCGATATCACGACATCGCAATTGACTTCTGACAGCCAATGAAAACCACTCCGATGTACATTACACCTTTGACGTATCTAAGTACATTAGATCGGAAAATAAGACAATAACGCGATAAAGATACATCATTTACAAACAACTTTGCCTTAAAGCTGATTTCCACCAGCTTGTAATGTAAGTTATCGGGTAATACTACATTTGTAGCATACTTCAGTGTCTATTCACTAATTTTCAAATCAGATTTCAAAAATACAACAAGAAAATACCAATATATGAACATAATTCTAACTCAAATTCAATTACACTGCAGCATGATAGGAACAAGAGAAAGCTTTACACGGAGACTCCTGAAAAAGGGAAAATGAGAATTAAGCCATGATGAGAAAGCGTCTTCTGCTTCATCGACGACACCCGCGATGTAAATCGTGTTCAATTCAAGTGTGTGATGTCACGTTTCTCAAATGAGAACAAGGTAAACAACAACGGAACCAGCAGGTAAACGAATGGACATCATGCACGTCCAGCTTTATACCACACAACGGAACCAGCAGGTAAACGAACGGACATCATGCACGTCCAGCTTTATACCACACAACGGAACCAGCAGGTAAACGAACGGACATCATGCACGTCCAGCTTTATACCACACAACGGAACCAGCAGGTAAACGAACGGACATCATGCACGTCCAGCTTTATACCACACAACGGAACCAGCAGGTAAACGAACGGACATCATGCACGTCCAGCTTTATACCACACAACGGAACCAGCAGGTAAACGAACGGACATCATGCACGTCCAGCTCCAAAGTAAAAGAAAGCAGATAAATGAGAAAACCGGAAAAGTAAAAAGCTGGCCAAAAAACTTTGCAGATTCGATAATTTGAAAAACATTAGCTGTTCACAAGGGACATCCAAATATTGGAATAAAGTATAGTTCCTTGTTGCTTTACGTCCACCTATCAGCCAGGGTCGTTTCGGGATATGTCAGGTTTGGTTGACAGATCAGCGTCATTAAATTCACTCTGAATCGCTTCTCCGCCTTACAACAGCCAGAAGAAAACCAGAGTGATAATCAGAGCGGTCTTAAAATGAAAACCTCGAAGAAGGGTCCATGTAATAGGAACTGTGTCAATCTGCATGCCACGTTTCAATTCATTCGAATAGTGGCACAGAATAAACATATATCCCTTTCTTCTTGAATTATGGAAGACATGAAAATTACGACATTTATTTTAATTAAATTGCTAGTGCATCTTCCAATCTAGATTTTGACTTTTCTTCCGATAACTTAGGTTTTATCTCAGTCGTTTCCCACGCCTCAAAAATTACTGATGAGTCCTAGAAGGACGAATAAGTTGTATGCTGCGGTTTTATTCTTTGTTTGGTTCCACTCTTATCTTCATCTACATTTAGGTTTAAGTTTTTTTAGTCCAAACCTTCCTAAAACCACAGGGTCATATTAAATCACAGGTAAAGCAGAGATGAAATATTTGGGACCTACGTCACTGATACCGGTATCCTTTTTTGTCTTTTCGTGATGTTTTCGTGCTCTCTTCATCTCTTCCGGGTCGATATTAGACGCAACTCGTACTGCTTTTACGAACATCTCGGAATTGGCGAAATAAAGTGGGGCTTGGAATCGGACTATTTTCATAAACGGTTCTTCTTGTACCTGTTCACAACAAAAGACTTTATACGGTAAAAGTTCTGAAATATATTAATATAGAATTATCTTCGTATCATGTATATGTGAAATACCGAAAACTTTCTATAAAACACAGAATAACTTCAACTTAACCGTCAACGAGATTCACGTGATCGAGAGTACATTTTGATTTATCCATCCCATGAATAAATTATCATAAGTTGATCAGATCAATTCCAATTCAATTGCAATAGATAATATATTCCTCCATGGTGCAACTGTTCTCGAATTAATGCCATGAAACGCAATCGTTTTTATCTCTTTCTCAATAATATCACAATCTAAATGTAAATACATAAAAATCCATTTACAATGTAAATACATTACAATCCATTTACAATGTAAATACATAAAAATCCATTTACAATGTAAATACATTACGATCCATTTACAATGTAAATACATTACAATCCATTTACAATGTAAATACATTACAATCCATTTACAATGTAAATACATAAAAATCCATTTACAATGTAAATACATTACAATCCATTTACAATGTAAATACATTAAAATCCATTTACAATGTAAATACATTAAAATCCATTTACAATGTAAATACATAAAAATCCATTTACAATATACATTACAATCCATTTACAATGTAAATACATAAAAATCCATTTACAATGTAAATACATTACGATCCATTTACAATGTAAATACATTACGATCCATTTACAATGTAAATACATTACGATCCATTTACAATGTAAATACATTACAATCCATTTACAATGTAAATACATAAAAATCCATTTACTATGTAAATACATTACTATCCATTTACAATGTAAATACATTACAATCCATTTACAATGTAAATACATTACGATCCATTTACTATGTAAATACATTACGATCCATTTACGATGTAAATACATAAAAATCCATTTACAATATACATTACAATCCATTTACAATGTAAATACATTACGATCCATTTACAATGTAAATACATTACGATCCATCCATTTACAATGTAAATACATTACAATCCATCCATTTACAATGTAAATACATTACAATCCATTTACAATGTAAATACATAAAAATCCATTTACAATGTAAATACATTACAATCCATTTACAATGTAAATACATTACAATCCATTTACAATGTAAATACATTACAATACATTACAATGATCCATTTACAATGTAAATACATAAAAATCCATTTACAATGTAAATACATTACGATCAATACATTACAATCCATTTACAATGTAAATACATTACGATCCATTTACTATGTAAATACATTACTATCCATTTACAATGTAAATACATTACAATCCATTTGCAATGTAAATACATTACAATCCATTTACGATGTAAATACATAAAAATCCATTTACAATGTAAATACAATGTAAATACATTACAATCCATTTACATGTAAATACATAAAAATCCATTTACTATGTAAATACATTACAATCCATTTACAATGTAAATACATTACAATGTAAATCCATTTACTATGTAAATACATTACAATCCATTTACAATGTAAATACATTACGATCCATTTACAATGTAAATACATTACAATCCATTTACAATGTAAATACATTACGATCCATTTACAATGTAAATACATAAAAATCCATTTACAATGTAAATACATTACGATCCATTTACAATGTAAATACATTACGATCCATTTACTATGTAAATACATTACGATCCATTAACGATGTAAATACATTAAGACCCATTAACAATGTTAATTGACTACAACTGCCTGTTGGTGAACCTACTTGGTTGTAGCTCTGTGTAGATTTGATGTACAGTCCATCAATGATTCCTTCTCGGTAATAGTCTGGCCTGTCAAAAACATTGGTACAGTGTGATTAAATATTAATTACTGATTTTTGTCAATCAATTATTATTTTATTAATTTCTTTATTTAGAAATTTGTAGTATTTTGGACTATCAATTATTCATGAAAAAAAGCAAATTTTCTAAATCGCTTCTAAAATTCTGAAAATCATTGTTTAGGCAAATTAAATCGTTTTTTAAAGGAAAAAGATAGGGCACAAAATACCGGCATCTCAAGCTTCAATACCTGCTGCTTTCAGAAGGATGCTTACATAGTCTACCAAATACACACTCACCTGGGATACATGTGAACGCAGTCTTTAAATAACCAAAGATGTTGATGGTACATCAAAGGAATACAAACCAATTAAATATGGGAATCTCGAGCTTCACAACATATTGGTGATCAATGATCTTGATTGTTTTTTCTGCCATGAATTATTAAGTTCGGTCTTATTTCTGTAGGATTTCAAAATCTGATGCATTGCTTAAAGTTTCCGAGCAAGAATTGTTGTTTGAAGGAATCAATGTAAAACAACTGATGTCTTAAAGGTTTTTTTTCATAGCTACCTCTGTGTACGGATGGCTACTGTGAGGATGGAGAAGACGATTCCGATACCGATACCTATATCAGCGTCAAGAATCACTGTGGCCAGGAAGGTCACGATCCAAATCAGCTGTAGCAGTAAACATACATCACAAGTTAATGTGTAGAACAAGAGTTGACAAATATGTGTGAAAAACAGTCAGTAATAGTCAATGGAATTTATACATGTACTGAAATTGTTAAAATTAAGTAAAAAAGAGCAACGATGATAAACTTTTTAGCCTTTAAAAATGAATGGTATTTCATCAATTCTATACTAGTTATAGAGTTTGTCATATAACTTTATTATTACTCTTTGTCCGTATTTTGATGTTAGTACTTTCCCTGCAATTTAAAAAAATATCAGTAACCCTATGGCATGTTAAGTTAAGAATAAAAAAATAACTTATGATAATAGTATACTGTCAAATTATGAATTTTCGTGGGACTAAATTTTCGTGGTTTTACAAACAAATAAATAACTTTTTCGTGGACATTTAATTTTGTGAATGAATATAGATCAATGAATCAACTTAAGCTAATTCTGACAATTCGTAGACATGTGAATTCGTGAACTCATAGGTGACAACCCCCTCACCAACCCCACTCTCAACCCACTCAAAAAATTATGATTTTGTAGTAAAGAAATACTTACGAAATCATATTTAGACTTCTTCCACAGAGGTTTAAGCTCCAAGAACTGCAGAAACATGCTCCGCAAATTGACAAGAATAACACAAGATAGCACGCACTACAACACATTAATGATTTAAGTTCTTGATAAATCGTTATTCGGTATCTCAAATATTGTTTATCAAAATAATCTGGATGCGCCATGTTTACTTGACTGTTATAACAAAAACGATTTATAAAGTTCGATATCATGTGATTGCATTTGTATATTTGAAGGATATTGTAAAATAGATGATGTGTCTGTCAGCCAATTATCTACCTTGAGAAATAGTATGAAGTTGACAGCTGTCGTGTTTTTGTAGAGATTCATTATCTTAGGTAAAGGGAAGTAACTGCGAAATAAAACAAAATATCAAATGTTCCATGTTTCATCAAAATACATGCTGTATTTTCGGACCAACAGTGACAACGATTTTACAGAAAGACAGAATAGCGTAACGACAAAGGTTAATATAATACAAATAAAGTTTACACGGATATCCTTGACTTTGCTGAAACTGTGGAAATTCGTTACCTTCGGAAGCGAGTAGAACAGTGGTCCTATAGCCACAATGACCACGAGAACGACCAAGCAACCGAACAGGGAGGCCACCTTAGAAGCGAAAACAATAAATATATTATACTTATATAGGAAATAAAGTGTAAGTAATATTAGTAAACTATCTAAACAAATGCATGGTATTGATATCCTTTTCATAATAATGTTATTATACATATGTACATTTGTTTTAATGAAAAATATATAATTGATTACTAAAATACAGAAATGCCGGATATTAATATTTTCATTCATATCAAGATGTCTGTAGGTAAATTTGATAACATTATATACATATGTCATATTTGCAGTTTTTTTTTAAATAGTAAGAACGTATTCCTTAATCAGACGGATTTCACATCTTACCTTGACTCCGTGTGTAATCAGTATATCTATCTTTTAGCATCACTTTCTATTGTTTACTGGAAACGTATTGAAAAAACATAATCTTCTAATCAACAACAGTTTTTAATGACCACTTTTTTAGTAATCGTATAACGTGTGTCCCCTGGCCCTCTCCTTGACTATGTCTTACTTACGTGTGTCCCCCGGCCCCCTCCTGGACATTGTCTTACTTGAGTGTGTCCCCTGGCCCTCTCCTTGACTATGTCTTACTTACGTGTGTCCCCCGGCCCCCTCCTGGACTATATCTTACTTGAGTGTGTCCCCTGGCCCTCTCCTTGACTATGTCTTACTTACGTGTGTCCCCCGGCCCCCTCCTGGACATTGTCTTACTTGAGTGTGTCCCCTGGCCCTCTCCTTGACTATGTCTTACTTACGTGTGTCCCCCGGCCCCCTCCTGGACTATATCTTACTTGAGTGTGTCCCCCGGCCCCCTCCTGGACATTGTCTTACTTGAGTGTGTTCCCTGACCCCCTCCTGGACTATGTCTTACTTGAGTGTGTCCCATGGCCCTCTCCTGGACTATATCTTACTTACGTGTGTCCCACGGTCCCCTCCTGGACTATGTCTTACTTGAGTGTGTCCCCTGGCCCTCTCCTTGACTATATATTACTTGAGTGTGTCCTCCGGTCCCCTCCTGGACTATTTCTTACTTGAATGTGTCCCCCGGTCCCCTCCTGGACTATATCTTACTTACGTGTGTCCCCCGGTCCCCTCCTGGACTATGTCCTACTTGAGTGTGTCCCCCGGTCCCCTCCTGGACTATGTCTTACTTGAGTGTGTCCCCCGGTCCCCTCCTGGACTATGTCTTACCTGAGTGTGTCCCCCGGTCCCCTCCTGGACTATGTCTTACTTGAGTGTGTCCCCCGGCCCCCTCCTGGACTATATCTTACTTGAGTGTGTCCCCCGGCCCCCTCCTGGACTATTTCTTACTTGAATGTGTCCCCCGGTCCCCTCCTGGACTATGTCTTACTTGAGTGTGTCCCCCGGTCCCCTCCTGGACTATGTCTTACTTGAGTGTGTCCTCCGGCCCCCTCCTGGACCATGCTCCTCGCCACAGAGGCAGCAGGGATGTAACCAGAAAACACGGCGTTCAACACACTTCCTGCTCCATAAGCCACCATTTCCTGTTGTTACGGTGTTGATTAGTTTAGAACGAGGAAAAAGAAATCCCAAAACAAAACAAAAATAAAACTGAATTCTGCCATAAAACGATGTGTTATTACAATCTCAGTCCATTTTATAAACTACTATTTGACAAATAAATACATATATTCCAGTAGTCGTATACAACCTTCCGGTGTTTTTGATTGGTTAAGTAAATTGAAATTTAACCAAAACTACTTTTTTGTCCACGCGCTTTGTGCCACGTGCGAAACTTGTTTACGATATATGCTGTCAACATTCGCTTACCTGGTTTGGGTTGATATGGTAGTTGTTTTTTCGTGCCAGTATTTTCGCCATAGACACTGATTGTATAAAAGCGACAATTCCAATAATGACAGCATCCTTAAAACTCTCCCCGACCAACGTCACATCCGGTATAGCAGGGGCGGGTACTCTATTCAAATATAAATGGTAAATATGAAAAGTATTCTTTTTTTTTTTTTTTTAAATCACAAAAACGCACACGCTTTTGGAAAAGACAAAAGAGAATAAGAGCGAGTGTTCCAAATGGTATGCATTTTCTGCTTCATCAGGTCTGTAATGTAAAGCTTGCTCTTGTAAAGAAAGTAATTATAAATTGATTATAATTACAGACTCACGTTTCTCAAATAAGAACAGATTTTGTGACAAGTGAGATTGCAAACAATTGTTTAATTGTTTCTCAATATGGTTAACAGTGATCTTGACAACACGCTTTCAAAATTCTGTAGTTATTCTCTGAATCTGCATTGTTGCTAACCAAATTTATCAAAATTATATACCAACAACTGAATAAATATATACCTACCCTGATGGAATGTCTTCTAAAACGTTGACTTCATAGTTTGTCTTAAATTTCGCAACGTGGGATATCGCCGTGGCGATTGACACCTTAGAAAAATAAAAAGGGGCAAAACGGATTTTTCATTGATGCAAGGGCGTAGCTTCCATAGAAAGAAAAAGCCCAGGCTTACACATAAAAATTCCGTGCATAGAGTATGTCGGACAAAATTGCAAAACTAAGGCTGAAAAAAAATATCTAATATTTTTGATAAATAAAAAAAATAGATAGTAATTTATAAATAGAAAATTGTTAAATAACTAAGCCTAATGCATTGCTTTCCGGAACTTAATACACGTCATACTATTCTACTTCTTACTATCATTTCAACGTTTCCGAATATAATGTTGTTAAAGTGCAAATTTTCAAAATGAAGAAGGTTTCTGGATTACAGACGTCGATCGACAAGTTTTTCAAACAAGATAAAGCCCCACCAGGGCCCTGCCCTCGCCCCACTGGGGGCCTAGGCGGCCCCAGACCCCTCGCCTGGGCTTACACATTTCTGCCGGGCTAGCTACGCCCCTGTTGATGGTATATGGTGTTACAACTTTGTACAATAACAGATTAGTTTCTAATACGTATTAATGGAAGCTGTTGCAATAGATCTATAATAGTCTCATTGATAGACAAACGAGATAAAAGAGTTATCTAGCCTGGGAAGTGCTTGTGCACCTGGGAAGTGCTTGTGCACCTGCCGATTTGTCTCTATATTTAATTCTAAGTGTACATTTTGTCTTTTGTAATATTTTCGACCTATCATTGTGATGTCATTAGAAGTCTGAAATGAATGTAAAGAAAGACGATGCCGCTATGATTAGGTACATGTGTACTTGTTTTTGACAGTGCCGCTATGATTAGGTACATGTGTACTTGTTTTGGACAGTGCCACTATGATTAGGTACATGTGTACTTGTTTTGGACAGAGCCGCTATGATTAGGTACATGTGTACTTGTTTTTGATAGTGCCGCTATGATTAAGTACATGTGTACTTGAATGAGTAACAGAAGCCAGTATGACGTCATTACTTACGACAATGATTTCAATGGGTATAGGGATCTTCAGTTTGGCCTTAAAACGAAGGTTAACATGAATTTTGACAGCGTAGATGGCCAGGATACAGATAATGGAGGTAACGACGGGAGCCCAGTTGATTGTGGTAATGTTTTTGGCGATATCAATCCATGTCTGAAAAAAGAGAAACATTCTGACTTCAAACCATAGGAAAAATTTTGTTACAACGTAGGAGATGAAAAACACGGTTTTGATTTGACATTAATGATATAAAAACTTGAAAAAGAAAAGTACATTTCCAAATTCATCTTTATCATTCCCTCCATCAGTTTTTTCATCTTAACACCATTTATAAGCTCTGCTATAAAACAGATGCATATGAACCGATCCTTTTAACCGTATTATCACAAAATTATGACGGACGTTTCAGTAGTATATTTCCCCAAAAAGCCCTAAATGCATATACTCTGTTACTTTAATTTGTATTGAAATGTGTGGTCTTAACATTGTCATAACATTTTAACCTTTCTGACTTTGATACTTATTTATCCTTATCTAAGACCCCGATATCTCTGGATAGCAAACGGCGTACCTCCCGCATAATGTCCATTGGTGTAATCACCATCTTTATAAGGCAAGTCCGTTTCAAAATGGAAATTGCTTCGACAAATAAAACCTTAATCCCGCCCTAGATGAAAATGTACATTTGGGATATTGAACAATCTCGCGTAATCTTATCTACAAAATCCGACAAGCCATCACTAATTTTTTATTTAATTTTTTGAATTGTTTCAAACTTACCTTTATGACCTTGAAAACTCCGTTATGGCGCCCTACTTTGATACCCAGGATGTGCTTGGCTTGGCTTGTGGTCACGTGAATGGCAACTGCGGACGTGAAGCCACATACCATCGGCTCAGACATGTAGGTAGCCACCAGTCCCATATTGATCTTTCCAAGAAAAATCTACAAGTCGAAAGTATTTCAGTAATACAACATTCAGATGATCTGTTAGCACGGTTTAAACACAATCGTACGCTAAGGCTTTTCCGTTATGGCATAGATCATCCACATTTTTATCATTCTTGTCAAAATGCGTATTGACCAGGTCGAACTTCCATACGTAAACTATTTCCTGAGAGACGCATTCCTACAACTCTTGTTCCATATTGTTGATGTACAAATAGTTAATAGATATAAGAATTTGTTATACCTAATTTCACATTGAATCGATAGTTACTTAATAGTGCAGCTTACTACATGTTCATAATGAATCAAATTAAACATTGACATCACGTGACCATGACGTCATTTTCATTCCACTGCACAGGTGCACGCGATATTACATTATTTTGTTTAAGTTTCGAATCAGTTTCCGAAAGTTGATTGTCATCATTATTATTTAAGACACTCTTAAATTGTCAATATTACAACCGAAATAAACATATCATGATTTACTAAGACATCCGGTGTCCCCCTCCCTATTTATTGTTACTTTTTATAGATGGAACTTTAAACTGAAAGAGAACACAAGCTCGCCTCCTAGAGCATTTTGGTAACAATCTAATTTAATATCTACCATTACAAATCCGGAGACAAACGACAGGGCCGCCGTTAATCTTATCTTCTGTACGTCTGTTTCCGAGAATGCCGACGTCACACTGGTGATTGGTGCAGTGTTCGTGCTGTTTGTGACGTTAAAAAAGCTGGACGTGGTCGTAACGCTGTAGTTATAAATGGCTGACGAAGTTGTACCTGGGTGTAGCGTAGGTGTTCCGTTCCCGAGTCTAGCGTCCAGGACAGAGGCTATCATTAAACTCACTATGGCAATAGTACCTGTGATGGTATTACAGAAATCTTATTGATGAAATAATCGATATCTCAATACAGCATATTGTAATGTTTAAAATAACAGAAAATAGATTCTTTGAACATGAAAATAAAAATGAAAAGAGTACAGCAGATATATATATCAAACTCGGGTACAATTACGACAAGTTATTCAAATCTAGAACCTTCGGGGAGATGTCAATCCCTTGGGAAAATTATGTATCACTCGTCAGGGAAAAGAGATATACAGTCCCTTGTGGTGACTAATAGGGGACGGTAAGGAGAAATAATTGGGGGAAGAGATATCAACCCCTCGGGAAAGTTATGTATTACTCGTGAGAGAAAAGCGATATTCTGCGGAGAGCCCAATACAGAAGATATATATGACACGGATGAAAGGAGGGATTTCATTCTTCTCTGTGGTAGCCACGCATAGTGCATAATCTGAAATAACCACTGGAAAATGTGTACATGTATTGTAACTGGAACCCTGACATATATACGTCTGTCGCAGTAATTACGTGTTGACAGTGTAAGATAAAGGTACATATATACTGTAAATGTTATTTTTCTGAGGTTCAAATTTTCGTTGGTTTTCCAAAATTTTGACGAAAAAAATGGCGGAAGTACGGAAGAGAGAGATGGACTATTCATATATTCACTAATGTCTATTTCATTGTACAATGTTTCTGTTTTAGCAAGTGAATTCAAACCTTACAAAAAATTGCAGCAATTGTAACTTTCGAAGTTTTTTACCTCTTATATCCTTCAACCAAGATGATATGTATAAAGTCTTTCGTGTATACGCAACCACCTATTAAAACATTACCTATTTTTTAAAAAGTATCTTTTTATCAAAAACAACGCAACTGGACAAACATTTTCTACTATAAACTGTATATTTGTTTTCTTTTTATCAAAATCAAATGAAAAACTGTAAAGATAGGAAAGAAATGTAAAAATTACTCTTCAAATCCACACTCAGCTTGTTTGTCGTCTGAAATGAATGTAAAGAAAGACGACATGTGTACATGTGTACTTGTTTTGGACAGTGCCGCTATGATTAGGTACATATGTACTTGTTTTGGACAGAGCTGCTATGATTAGGTACATGTGTACTTGTTTTGGACAGTGCCACTATGATTAGGTACATGTGTACTTGTTTTGGACAATGCCACTATGATAAGGTACATGTGTACTTGTTTTGGACAGTGCCACTATGATTAGGTACACGTGTACTTGTTTTGGACAGTGCCACTATGATTAGGTACATGTTCCCAAACAAAACACATTGGAAGAAACTGGTTTATAAATCTGCAAAAGACTATGAAACAAACGCCTTGTTACACAAAATGTCTAGAGCTGCTATGATTAGGTACATGTGTACTTGTTTTGGACAATGCCACTATGATAAGGTACACGTGTTCTTGTTTTGGACAGTGCCACTATGATTTAAAACCACACTGTTTGTGAAACAAACTTGTTACACAAAATGTCTGTATCATTGTTTAAAACCACACTGTTTGTAATTCTCTCGACAATATCCGTTATGTAATCAAACCATTAGAATTCAAATATACAATTTTTGTGTCATTATTGTGGATATTTCTATATAGACATTGTGAATCATGCGATTTTACATGGTTCAAAAACAGAAATTGACCGTGATGACTTATGGTGCGCAATGGCGTCTTTTTCGAGTATTGAATGTATTTCATACTTACTATCATTGCCAGAGAATACATTACTTCACATTTTACTAGGAGCCCCTCTGGCCTATCAGCTAGACAAACACCATTTAGAACAATTTAGACTGAAGTCAGCATGTTCTATAAAAAGGATGCTGGAAGTATATGGTTATGTATAGCGTTGCACATTAAAAGGCTTTATGTATATAAACTTAAAACATGTATTGTTTTGACATACATGCTTAGTGTGTAATTATTTCATAACATTATAGTTGATAAGATCACTCTTCACGGAGTACATGTATTATGTTCAATCAAACTTAGTGTAGAATTAACGTATTCTATGCATAATTGTAATTTGTATAATTTACATTATTTTCCATTTCAATTGCACGTTTTTCATATTGTATGCTCTTCATATTTGGAGGAAATAAAGACAATAATGATAATCATAACAAGACAGCTCTACTGTAACTTTAAATGGTCAGATCACAACGAAGAACTTACTATTGAACTAGATCGGAAGCAAGAGTTACTTCCCCTGTTACTCTAAACTATAGCTATTGGACACTACATGCAGGACAATTTTCATCTGTATTCTACTTGGAGGCATTAATGGGGCCAATATGTTCTTCTGTCTGTCCCTTCATTTCTAGTTGTGTCTCTCTATTCACTCACCCGTGAAACGTGTACGGTCGACTGAGGCCTTAAATGTACATGTATATACAATTATTAGAACTATTTGAAAACATTAACAGATATTCCATTTCAATATTTTTTCTGCTGGTAATATATGACGTATTACGTAATATCTATGTGTTACATGTTTTCATATACTTGAAATATCAAACCAAAAACAAATGTAAGTACATTTTCCCGTATTTTTTATGTATAGCATGTATATCAAAAATAGTATGTGAATCACTACGTTTATATAGTTTGTGGTTTAGTAGTAGGGCATTGAGTGGGAATTTAGCGTTAAAAATTCCATGTCTAGAATATAGGCAAAACTACGCCAACTACATTTGTCTGTTGTAACACCAACCTACGCCAACCACCTTTGCCTGTAGTTACGACAAACTACGCCAACTACTTTTGCCTTTTGTTACGACAAACTACGTCAACTACCTTTGCCTGTTGTTACGGTAAACTACGTCAACTACCTTTGCCTGTTGTTACGACAAACTACGCCAACTGCCTTTGCCTGTTGTTACGACAAACTACGCCAGCTACCTTTGCCTGTAGTTACGACAAACTACGCCAACCACCTTTGCCTGTAGTTACGACAAACTAAGCCAACCACCTTTGCCTGTAGTTACGACAAACTACGCCAACTACTTTTGCCTGCTGTTACGACAAACTACGTCATTTTCGCAGCACCAATTACATTGCCTATGACTTACATCACACATGTTTTGGGGGTCCATAATTAGAACTGAAACGTAATAACTGCGTACATTTGACTGAAAACTGTGAAAAAAAGCATTGATACGTTACGTTTTTACCTTTCATCATGAATTTTACCCGATTAATTAATCCTTTACAAAGAGTTGTTTATTTCTTAAGTGGGACATTTAAACTGTACTGTGTAAATCATGTGCTAATTACATGCGCACTTTGTGTGAAACACTTTTGTCTTCATTGTGGTAATGATTTTTTTTTATTTTCAAATGTAGGTCAAATGTAACGGTCAATGTGACATGGCCAAACATTTCGGTACCACCGGAAATGTATCGTCACAAGAAACACACGTGCCAATTATGAAAGTCCTGCATCTTTCGGTGCAGTAGTTATGGGCAAGATTATAGTTGACAACAGAAAAACAGACAGCACATAAACAATATTCCCCCGATCTTTCGATCCGGGAAAAAAATGAAGATGGCACGTAGGGGTTTCCACACATGACACTATCAATACTACTGTATTTTGATATACAAGAAACGATTGTATTTTATACATGTATCCCGGAGCATTTTTGTGCTCCGTGAGTTTAACTTTGTCGTATAATTTTCAACATTTTTTTTCGTAATTGCAGAAAGGACTGAGAACGTCTGACCCGCTGATTGGTAGAAACTATCTCCATCAACTTATTTCACATTTAATAATGACTCCGCATGCATTGTGATGTCTCCAAAGAGACATAGTAAGATTACCGTTCATTCAGATTCAGTAACACCATAATATAAAGCTGTTTCACGAACGTTTACGAACATATCTAATTATGTGACATTTAAGATACTTACCCATTGAAGCATGACGTGACGTTCCAAGGAAAAAGTAAATCAGTGGACCGAAAAATGACGTATACAACCCAACGATTGGGGGCAGTGATCCCAACAAAGCGTACGCCATCCCTTAAACGATAGGTAAAACACAATATATATACACACATATATATATATATATATATATATAAGTGGAGGGCGGAGGACATGCTGCAGACTTAACTAAACATACATCTATTTTAATGCATTCATGCAGTATACAAAGATGAGCCACATCGCTCGCAATAAGCATTGCGATGACTAAGATCCAAGCAAAATCTTAGATATATTTTTAAAGTCAGGTAAATATTTCGAACAAAAGCTACGTGTTTTAGTCTACAAAGGGAATGTACCTACGTGTAGTTCTAACGACAAAACTACAATTACTGTACAATGAATGTCACGACTACTTAAAACTTACAGGTCATGACGGCCGTGTACACAGGATAGCACAGACGACACACAAAGGAGTAATATCACACAATACAAATTGTTCCGATAGAAAAAACAAACCTAAAACTATAGATTGGAAGTTGAACCAATAACAAAATGGAGTGCATGTGCATATTCTGTCATTGTTCAATTGAATTTAAATACGAAGATGAAGAAATCGGCACAATATTGTAACGCAATGTAATGCGAAAAGGCTTTTGATGGCACGGACACAGTGTTAAATTCACATAAGGAACACATCTATCGCATAAAATATGGCGAGTCTAACATGGTTATTAAAGCTTTATCATCTTATTGCATGTACTAAAGTGCCAAAGTGGACTTCCCTATCTAACTACATTTTTTAAGAAGATAAGAAATACTGTTTTTCTCGTTAGTGATAAATCACAAGCCATATTTTGCAGTCATGATATTTCAGCAATATACGGATAAGAAATTTATCGTAGACGTAAAAGAGCTCAAATTAAAATTACGCATCAGCTAGGTTAACCGATAAGCGTTTGTGAGATATAGAACAAAATTTTATGTATCTAAAATAGCTTTTTATCGTCCGAAGTCAAATATATTAATTTCTTAAAATTATATAGCAAATACCGATATTTAAATGAACGTGTCTGTTGTAAAAAGTTTATTTCAGAAGGAAACAAGTCCAAGTTTGTTGATGTTTATCATTCACATTATTCGGGACTTAGATATAACACACAATATTGTTATGTCCATAAATATACAGCTAAGCTTTTTGTAACACATGATAAAGCCTCTATTTTGAGATATCTGAAAGACTGTTGTTTTATATTGTGATAAAATAAACAGTTAAGATTTTCGGAACTTGTCTTCTTCCTTTTGTATTATGTTATCTCTCTTTAGATCGCTGTGTCTTTCACCAGCTGATTGCCCTAATGACCTTTTACGTGTTGACGGGCTGTTAAGATTGCAATAATAATAATAATAGTTGAGATATCAAATAACACACAATGTACTAACCATGTAATACCTTACTTTGTACAGAGAAAACCTGGTATTTTTATTACTTTCAGGACAACAGATAAATCGTGAGTCTCGCTCTTAATAGGAACACGTCGTTATCTTGAAATCTAAAAAAAAAATCGAAACATTATTTTTCACTTACACTTACATAAAAGAAATGCATATTAAAACGCATATCATTTATCTAAAGCCTAAAACTTACATGTGACTTTTTTTGAGAGTGTCCGGGTTCATGTTTCACAAAACTGTTTAAAATTGACGACCTACCGCAGCTGGATCACAACGTGCTTTTTTCACAATGTCCTAGAACTGATATGACACATGTGTAAATTCTAATAAAACAGAAATTGGGTGAGGTTATGTATTTCCGAAAGGATTTGATGATTAAGTGAGAAGTTTGTTACCCTGAACAATCAAGTAAAACACCAAATGACGAAGGAAAAGACAAGTTTCGATTACCAATGTGTATATGTGTGTACACTATAAATAGATATAAATCAGGGCCTTGATTTCACTCACTGAACCAAAAGCCATATACTGCATCTGTTAAAAACTCCATGACCCTGTTTTACGCGCTAGAGGGTCAAGTGTTGATGGAAGCACTCATTGTTTTCACACATGAACTTTTACATAGACCGTCGTCCTTCACATTATCAAAAGCAGAAAAAAGTGCTTAAAACGAAAGCCAAGCCACATTTAAAGGCGATAAGGCATTAGTTTGTTAAACGGATGGGGAGAGGGGAGGGGAAGGGAAGGGAAATATTATTTATACGTACCCTGGGGAATTTGCATTATACCAACGGTAAGTCCAGATATGACGTCATTTGCCAGGTTTTCTTTAAGTTTGTACTTCTTAATTACTCCTATGAAGGGGAAATTAGCATACACTGTTTTTATCAACTTCCGTTTTGAAAAATAATCCTTGCACCGGGTTGCAATTCGTTGTGATAGTGGTTTCGGTTGTTCGGGTGGCCTCTTGAACTTTGTATCGAATGCGGCCACCCTCAAAACCGTTCTCCGAGGTTTCATGTCCGTCACATCCATTTTCTAAACACTGTTGAACGCCGATGCTACTAAACCCAGATATTTTGTTTGAATAGCTCCAAGGGTCAGACACTTACAGTTGTAGTCAGGGGTTCCAGCAGCTGCAGTAACTAATTCTAGTCCAGTGGCCCAGTTTTAAGTCAGGCCAGCCACATAGATGTCTCTGCACGCCTGTATTTGCTGTGGATAGCTTACATGTATGTGTGTCGCGAGATTTCAGGCGGGAGGAAGATTTTTGAAATTCGATTGACAGTAATTTAATGGAACACTTGAAATATGTTATATAAAGTATCGTAGTGTCTCTAACCTTTAGTATATTCTAAACCCGTCCCCTCCCCTTTAGGTATACAGAGTCAAACTTCTATGAATCGAACTTCGATGATTCGAATTTCTTGATGTATCGAAGTTTTTGCCCGGTCCCAAATTTTATTCCTAAATATTACTACTAACTTACCCCTTATGAATCGAAGTTTTATAAATCGTTCTTTTCGAGGTATGGAAGTTTTTTCACTGACCGTAAGCTATGATAACATAGTCAGTGACACCTCAAGACTGGAACAAAACATTTACCTGTAATGCACAGGTATTTTCGCAACGAGGCAAAATTACCCACATTTCAACAAAGAGTGCTACCTGACAATGGGATTACGATAGCCCACTATCATTAGCTCTTTGTGGTAATGGCATTTAGTTAAGTCTAATTTAGGGAACAATTGAAGGAAATTCTATCACTTGTATGAGGATTTCATTATTCCCAAAGTGTCACTTTTTAGTTCTGTGATAGATTAAGGCTAGCCGTCGTCAGAACATAGGCACTCTTGTAATTTCTACGACCAATGATGTGTGATGTTAGTGCTGCAGTTCCTGGACATAATAAATCATGATATCAAAGGGGCTATTTAGTAAAGTTTGTTTATTTTTTTTCAAATTACAAATTCATCCGTAATAATGTAGATCTATAATCCTTATGAACTATCCTCGCCGACATATTGATACAAGCACGTGTTTTCCATCGTTTTTTAAAATTAATTATATGGGAAATCCTAATCGTCTGTGCAGCACAATAAAATGCAAATGAGCAAACCACCTATGCACACTTTGACCTGTGAGTATGCGCTAATGCGCCTGAAAAAAAACTAAACAAAAATGGCTTCCTAGCCGAAACGTGTTCATAGCAAATGGGTCACGTCATCGCACACAAAACGTAGAAAAGGCCAGTGACAGAAAGCTCACCCTCGAATAACAATAGGAGAGCAGTACGAGATTTCAATTTATTTATTTCTCTTTAACTATACAGTACAGAGCAAACATATTTACAAAGCAACAAAGTTAAATAAAGTTGTTCAGCCAGATAGAAAGTATGAATACATACATTGTATACCATGTACATGCAACATAAGGTATGATATAATAAGTTTGTATACATGTTATTACTTAATGATTAATATATCGTATATATATTGTACATGTATACCATAACATATCATTGCACAGTACAAGTGATACCATTCAAATATATACATATTAATCATAAAACGTCCAAAATTAGAACTGAAACAGCTCAGTTCATGATTTGTACTGTATTATGGAGGACAGATATCAATAAAGATGATTCTAATAAATTTACAAAGTTTTTTTTCAGATTTTTATCATATTTAGAGTTAATAAGATCTCTGAATTTTAATACATTCGGTCTTGTATAATAATATTTGTTTACATATAATTTTTCTATGCTCGACAACTAGCATTCTAGCAAATAGTGGAATTCGTCCCCTATTTGTTGACTAATACAAAAAGTACAAATTCTTTCGTGACGTTCAGTATTATTCCAACTTCCGGTTTCGATAATGAGCCTGTGATTTGTTGTTCTGAATTTACAAAAAGTGTTTCTTTCTTTATCTGTAAAAATATCCAAATATCCTTCAAAACCAAAATTTTCTTTAAAAATTCTGTAACAACTAGATTTTGAAGAAGTAAATACATCATTTTCCCATTGCTGCGTGAACTGATTGCGAAGTGTTTGTTTTACATAGGATTTTAACCATGAGGTATCTAGATCTTGAATATATTGGACATTCCAAACATAGCTAATACCACAGTCATTTAATACTTGTTGGATATAACTTGCATAGGAAATATTATTATTATCATTATATTGATTATGACATAAAAGTTTATACATTACAACATTAAGTTTGTTTTCTTTTGAATTAATCAATTGAGACCAATAAGTCAACATTCTCGTTTTAACTGAAATATTCAATGGATAAGCTCCAAGTTCACCATATACTATAAACGATGGTGCACTACGTTTGATCCCAAGTAGCAATTTACACAGTTTTAAGTGAGCTCTCTCAATAACTTGTAGATTTGTAAAACCCCAAATCTCACATCCATACAATGATATAGGTTTAACAATTTTATCATACAAATCATAAATACATTGAATAGAGAGGTTATACAAGCTTCCCTTTTTAAAAACATCATACATTGCAATAGTTGCTTTTTTAACGTTGTAATTTTTAGCTTCATTAAAGGAACAAGTACCTTTACCGAATAGCATACATTTTGTTTTCCCACTATTGACTCTCAATTTCCAGTTTTTACAGTATTCATTAAAAATATTTAGCTGCATTTGAAGGTCTTCTGGCGTGTCAGAAAATAGTTTTGTATCATCAGCATATAATAAAATAAATAATCTAATATACATATGGAAATCATCTCCAAGCTGATTATTAAGGCACTGTAAACCAATGACATTGTTACTAACCATAAATTCCTCCAGGTCATTCAGATATAAACTAAATAAAAAGGGAGATAAGTTTTCCCCTTGCCTCAAGCCGTTATTACATGCGAAATCCCTTCAACATTCAGGGTTTTGAAATAATCAAACAGCATATCGGGTATAATGTTACCTGTCTTATTTTTACATGGACCATTTGAAGATTTGAGTAGTTTCCAGTAGTCCCGTGCATTATTACTTTTCATTTCTTTCAACTTACATTTAAGATCTTTTTCTAAACTTGTAAATACTTTTATCCATTGTACGTTTGTATATTTTTTCACTCACCATTGAACCAGGGTTTAGAATTTGACTGAAGTGTATTACATTTATCGGTATGCTTACATCTATACGTACCAAAAGTTGACTTAGCAGCACTTACCAACACATCGCTACAGTCTGCTATTAGTGTATCAATATCTAGGTCATTGATGTCATTACACTGGTCAATTATATTAGTAATATATTGTATTGTGTCATCATTTATGTTGTCAATAAAATTCTGTAATTTCTCACTCTCCCAATTCCTAATCCGTTCAGTATAGTCTGTATTATCATGAATATTACTGTTGTCAATGGAAAGTGCTATTCCACCCATAGTAAGAGAGAGAGGGCAGTGCGCGTCGGACAAAAGAGCGCTAAAATCTAAAACATCAAAATCACGTGTGCGCTTAAGGAGCCTAGAGGAACATATTGCATAATCTACAACATTGGTATTTTTACATGTGTACTTACCTATATCTTTATCACATCCAACTCTTCCGTTACAAATAAACAGGTCATTGTATTTACAAAAGTCTAAAAGTCGGTTCCCAAAATTATTTTTCATTAAATCCTGGCTCTTCCTGTTTTTAACAATACTAAAATTTTCCAGTTCATTCAGACTGGTAATACTTTCATCTAGAATTTCAATTTCAATTTGATCTCTACCGTTTATTTCATTATAGTCAATAAAATCTACAAAGCTTGCAGTTCTTGCATTAAAATCTCCTAACAAACACACATTTTTGTAATTTGCTGATAATCTTAAGTATTCGGTCTCAATTTCTAAAAGAGGATCACCAACACAGTATTGGGAATTCTCGGGCAGGACATAAACTGTTCCAAATAAAAAATCATCATCACAGTGTAATTTCGTCCCATCCAACCAAAACCAGTTGACATATTTACTACTGTTTGTTACAGAAGGGACATGGACCATGTTACAGACCCCTGTGTCAGTAATTTGTTACAGAAGGGGCACAGAGCATGTTACAGACCCCCTGTGTCAGTTATTTGTAACAGAGGGGACATAGAGCATGTTACAGACCCTCTGTGTCAGTAATTTGTTACAGAGGGGACATGGACCATGTTACAGTCCCCTGTGTCAGTAATTTGTTACAGAAGGGGCACAGAGCATGTTACAGACCCCTGTGTCAGTAATTTGTTATAGAAGGGACATGGACCATGTTACAGACCCCTGTGTCAGTTATTTGTTATAGAAGGGGCACAGAGCATGTTACAGACCCCTGTGTCAGTAATTTGTTACAGAAGGGGCACAGAGCATGTTACAGACCCCCTGTGTCAGTAATTTGTTACAGAAGGGGCACAGAGCATGTTACAGACCCCCTGTGTCAGTAATTTGTTACAGAAGGGGCACAGAGCATGTTACAGACCCCTGTGTCAGCAATTTGTTATAGAAGGGACATGGACCATGTTACAGACCCCTGTGTCAGTTATTTGTTATAGAAGGGACATGGACCATGTTACGGTCCCCTGTGTCGCTTATTTGTTTCAGAAGGGACATAGAGCATGTTACAGTCCCCTGTGTCAGTAATTTGTTACAGAACGGGCACAGAGCATGTTACAGACCCCTGTGTCAGTAATTTGTTATAGAAGGGACATGGACCATGTTACAGACCCCTGTGTCAGTTATTTGTAACAGAGGGGACATGGATCATGTTACAGTCCCCTGTGTCAGTTATTTGTAACAGAGGGGACATAGAGCATGTTACAGACCCTCTGTGTCAGTAATTTGTTACAGAGGGGACATGGACCATGTTACAGTCCCCTGTGTCAGTTATTTGTTACAGAAGGGGCACAGAGCATGTTACAGACCCCCTGTGTCAGTAATTTGTTACAGAAGGGGCACAGAGCATGTTACAGTCCCCTGTGTCAGTAATTTGTTACAGAAGGGGCACAGAGCATGTTACAGACCCCCTGTGTCAGTTATTTGTTACAGAGGGGACATGGACCATGTTACAGTCCCCTGTGTCAGTTATTTGTTACAGAAGGGGCACAGAGCATGTTACAGACCCCCTGTGTCAGTAATTTGTTACAGAAGGGGCACAGAGCATGTTACAGTCCCCTGTGTCAGTAATTTGTTACAGAAGGGGCACAGAGCATGTTACAGACCCCCTGTGTCAGTAATTTGTTACAGAGGGGACATGGACCATTTTACAGACCCCTGTGTCAGTTATTTGTCACAGAAGGGGCACAGAGCATGTTACAGACCCCTGTGTCAGTTATTTGTTACAGAGGGGACATGGACCATGTTACAGACCCCTGTGTCAGTAATTTGTTACAGAGGGGACATGGACCATGTTACAGTCCCCTGTGTCAGTTATTTGTTACAGAGGGGACATGGACCATGTTACAGTCCCCTGTGTCAGTTATTTGTTACAGAGGGGACATGGACCATGTTACAGTCCCCTGTGTCAGTTATTTGTTACAGAAGGGGCACAGAGCATGTTACAGACCCCTGTGTCAGTTATTTGTTACAGAAGGGGCACAGAGCATGTTACAGACCCCTGTGTCAGTTATTTGTTACAGAAGGGACATGGACCATGTTACAGTCCCCTGTGTCAGTTATTTGTTACAGAGGGGACATAGAGCATGTTACAGACCCCCTGTGTCAGTAATTTGTCACAGAAGGGACATGGATCATGTTACAGTCCCCTGTGTCAGTTATTTGTTAAAGAAGGGGCGTGGTAAATGTGACAGTCCCCTGTGTTTATCATAGAAGGGACGTGGTAAATGTGACAGTCCCCTGTGTTTATTATAGAAGGGGCGTGGTAAGTGTGACAGTCCCCTGTGTTTATTATAGAAGGGACATGGTAAATGTGACAGTCCCCTGTGTTTATTATAGAAGTGGCGTGGTAAATGTGACAGTCCCCTGTGTTTATTATAGAAGGGACGTGGTAAATGTGACAGTCCCCTGTGTTTATTATAGAAGGGACATGGTAAATGTGACAGTCCCCTGTGTTTATTATAGAAGGGACGTGGTAAATGTTACAGTCCCCTGTGTTTATTATAGAAGGGACGTGATAAATGTGACAGTCCCCTGTGCTTATTATAGAAGGGACATGAACGGTGTTTCAATAAAAACATAACAGAGATATCTTGGCGCCAACCATTGTTTGACCATTATTTTTTCATTGGTATTTTCTCTTCTTTTCCTTGTGTCTGCTTTTTATCAAATTTCGAAATAGTGATTATAATCTGTCAAATAAACTATCAAATTGCACATGCTAGATATTAAAACAGTTTCAAAACTACATTATGTATCAAAATCTTTTAATGAATCTAAGCCTTGTAATTGATAACCGTAATCAATTTCAAAATATTGTGTGTGTGTGCGTGTGCGTGTGTGTGTGTGTGTGTGTGTGTGTGTGTGTGTGTGCGTGTGTGTGTGTGTGTGTGTGTGTGTGTGTGTGTGTGTGTGTGTGTGTGTGTGTGTGTGTGTGGGTGTGTGTAGAATATTGATAGTAATATACACGTATGTAATTATTTTGTTGATTCATTGTAGATCATGTAGATAATTAATTATCATCTATAGTGCACGATTCAATGTCAAATATTGTATGTAAAATAGTCTCTTTATAAAATCTTAATTCTGGAGGAGAATGATAGTTATAATAGCTGTTGGGTAAAATCCACGTGCTTCTTGCTAACGAAGTAGTTTTTCGTGGTGAAGTGTTATCGCCATAGCTGAAGGGAGTTCCGGTAAAAATGATGTGGAAAAATAAAACGAGAAATTTTGCCGACTATTTTTACGCAATGCGTCTTACGATAATTATTTCAAAATAGGTGTGCGATTTGATTTTTTTTCACTTCGGTATTTCAAATTTTATTTTTATTTCATTGTTGGATTTATAAACAGTTGCATGCCGATCTTTAGATATACAGAATATGCTGATTTGTGAAAACTGGATAAGACCAAGCCAGCGCTTGTGCTTCTGTTCTGTCCACAATCTGATAGAGATCTGTATGGCGTTATTTGTGACTTATATTCCTTCGTGTACACGTCTCTTCACGATTGTGTACTCGTTATAAGTAACCATCCATGGTTCTGCTTTCAAGGCTTTAAAATCCTGATTTTCAGGCTTGTACACGTCGAAACAGCGGCTATGCGTGCGTGTTTACGTCCGTTCACGTCTTTATTTTGTTCTAAATCCCTCTCTGTTTGCTTTTTTGAGCACCATTCTTCTTGTGTACACATTTAAGGCTCGAATATTGCAGATCAAGACAACATTCTTGTACCTACTCGCTTTCATCTAATTTACCAGTCGGTGTAACATCCATGCACTCGTAGTCTTACGGATGTACAACTGTTTTACTCGTGTCAACACTTAACACTAACATTCTACTCATTTATATTCGTGAGTAAATTAATATTAAATTTTCTTTAGTTTATATTTGTTGGAATACATGTTTCAACTGTGAATTTACTGTCGTTAAACTGTTATTATCATATATTTGTCGGCCTTATTCAACTTTTCCAACGTCATATATCTATTGATTACAAACTATCCTACTATATTACAAAGGATACTTGTTCTTTTCTTATACAGTGTAACTGTGACAAATTTGTTTATATTATTCTGCATCTGTTGTTATCCCTTCTGTATTTCACTCTATATTTTCTTCATTCACTCCTTCTAGACTATTCTATCTTCCTCTTTCTCCACCGTTCTTTCATTCCAGCCCCAGCCTTTCTCACACTAACGAATGTAATTCATTATTATCATTATACGATACTTGACATTTTATAATTAAGAACCGTGCAGTGTAAAAAATGTGAAGATCAACGGTGCCGAACTCGTAAATATAACAGTGGATTTGAGAGACAAAGATACTGTAGAGGAACACATTTCACCATGAATGCGAATATGTCACGCTCATCCAAAAATCTGATATACTTTATGTTATTCCTCGGTGGCTATGGATATTACATCGGAGGAACTGGCACAACACTTACGGGCGCACGTACGAGTTCTCAAACTGATCGTTCAATCCCAAGAATACATAAAAAATAACATCGAGTGAACATTCAGACATTTGTGGAAAGAAAGCATTTAAAATCTTCCCGTTTTACAAACTTTATTCAGAGAATCGAACGGAAAGAAAAGAAAAGATTTTATTAAATCTTTTAAACCTAATCTAAACAGTGTTGTTTGAAAGTTGTATAGAATACAATTATGACGTCACAAACCTAATCTAAACAGTATTGTTTGAAAGTTGTATAGAATACAATTATGACGTCACGTGATCACTCTTGTTATGACGTCATAGTAATGTATTGATTCAGAAACGAAAGTGCTAATGCTTGATTAGACGAGTTGTTTGAAATTATTGTAATATATTTCACATGGCACTGTGAATTCAACCTTTATATTTTAATGTATATATTAATAATTTATATCTTAACTATTTTTCTTTTTTGGCAATAAACTGATTTAAACTAAAACTAAACAAACTGAAAACCGAAACCGTACTTGTAAACAAAAACTATACCCCAGCGAATTTTGTGTGTTAAAATCAGTTGATCGATAAATCTTTATACTTTAAAAACAACACTATACCTGAAAATAACCCCGGCATGTTACAAGATTTCACTTTTGCGGGTATACTTTAGTATAGTAAGATCCGTGGCAATATAACAAAATAATAGCGAAAAAAAAAATCCAGAAGTGGACGCTGATATTTTGTTTTTAGGTATGTACGATACTAAAACACACATGGGGTCCTTGCACTGATGCGGAAGATTCTAAAGTCATCATATTTCTATTTTCTTTTGCAAAATGAAATTGGACGTGTTTGATGGTAGCTCGTATGCCGTGTAGTTCTGTCGTTTTCTGTTCACCATTATGAACGTGACATTACTTACATGGTTATCGAAATTGCTTACTCTTCCGGAACATTGGTCTTATTCTAGTTGTTGACGCTTCTTTTTTTTATATATTTACCCTAGTTTCATCGAATTTTAGTTTGAATTATGATTATGTTCAAGTGCAAGTATTTTATGCTGCATTAGATAAAACAAGTTACCGACGCAGCGGATATTATACTATTCACGATAGCTGTTAACCGTTATAAGGTTTAGTTAAATAAAATGACGTGAAAAAAGAGGTAAACCCGAAATTAAACCGACGAATAGTAAACAGTTGCTTCTGTTTTCAATTAAACGTAAACAAACCACGTAAACAAGACTTGTAAACAAGAGTCTTTGTTATTGACGAAGGTTAAACAAGGTACTATTGTATACGAAGTCTTTAGTACGGGGGTGTTTGTTTCGCAAAAGAAACACTTGTCACTTATCGTGGAAATGCGATACATTCAGACTTAAATATACATTGTTATATAAATATCGCGCTTGTAACCTCAATAAATCTGATCCATAAAGCCATATCGTAAAAAAAATGCAGATATTTGCAGACAACTTTGTTGTAAATCGACACAATTCCGAGTCTCACACATGCTTGATTCATCTATGCCTGGCATTGCATCAAATCAACCAATGGCTGGTTATTTGATCAGGGTCAGTTGCGTGTTTGTTTCTCATTTTGACAATATATTTAACACTGGGCACTATATACCTGGCCCACCACGTTGGAAGCTTGAAACACTGACCGATTGTGAGCTGAGCTTCGCCACATGCTATCGATATGGGCGTATTGAACTGACACTATATGGAGACCAGTTTTATGAAGCAGAGTCCATAAAAACAAACATATTTACATACATAAACACAAACATCGAATGCGCCATAATGCGATATTCTGATCATCATGATGCACGTGCTCTGTATGTTGTTTGTTATACCTGCTGTTTTTATCATATTTACTAAAGGTAAGTGAGAAAATATATTTTTGAAAATGCTATCATTATGGTATATTTTCACTCTTTATCATCGTTGTCACTTCACTTAATTATCACGAATTTCAAAGTTTGGTTTTTCCCTTATCTTCATGATTTCATATATCGCCTGAGTTTTTTTTTACACAACATCATTGAAGAGTTTTCCCTTGTGTTGCGCAATCACTCTAAAATCTACCTGATCAACGGTGTAAATGATGTTGACATGACATCATCACAATATTGTCAGTATGACAACTTATTACGTCAGAAGATGACGCAGCTGAGAAGTGCTGAAAGCACAGCTAGTACAGGTTCATGTTTGATGTACATAAAGTCATGTTTTAAAGACATTAATAACTGTTACCACAAATCGTTATCAATTTGGTTACGTTTTATTTACTGCGTAGGACCTCGTCTCGGTTCTGTTTACAGCTTCTTTTACTGCTGCTTGGACAATTTCCCATCTCTGTTCAAAGCTTTATCGTCATGGATTAAATAATTTTGTTGTTTAACATTATGATATTAAATTGATGACATTCTGTCTAAATCCTGTTCAATTTTATTCATCTAGGATGTGTCTACCCAAGCTATCTCCAAGCCGTCTGGATAGACAAAAGTTCAATCACTCTACATAATGTATCGTATAAGGAAAAAGATATGATAGACAATCGGACTGACTTCCACTCACGAATCACATGGAATTGTCTTAAGTCGTTGAGAATGGGTAAAGACGATCTCGTTGTGTCAAAGTAAGATTTTATTTCTTTAATCAGAGTTTAAGTGTTTTGTTTTGAATGTATGCCCGGTGTCCACGGATGATTGGACCAGTAAAGAAAACTCTCATAAAACTGACATGATATTATCACTCCCCATCCGATAACGTTATGCATACTGTAAATCACTTCGATTTCGCGAATACTTTATTTTCCTCTTCAGACATATTCACGAATACACGGTTTCGCGGACGTCGATCTAGAAGTGACATAAAATTCGCGAAGGATGAACTATAACATACATGGACTCTGCAAGACTCCTAATTACTGAATCAATAATTAAGCCTTCCAGAGTGATTTTCGTACTGATAATCTCGATTTAAATTTCCGATTCGCTCTCCTCGCTTATCAATGCGAAAATGAATCCCACGTAAAATACATGTGATTTACAGTATATATATATATATTGACGGTCATTGTACCTTGCACAAGAATAGTTTGTCATGAAGTATGCTGTGCGTGTATCGATATGAAAGACAGACTGACAAAAAGAAATACGACGGTGTTTTATCGAACAATGTTGATATTTTCCGAATTGAGAAGTGGTTGATATCCATCCTGAACGGGATCATCTTTTAAATTCTCTACTACGCTGTGTTTTGTAACCTTTTTTTTTTTAGCTTAACCGCAATAGACCGGTCGCCCTTGTATGAGCCCGGGAATAATACTTAGCCGTGCCCCACAAGTATCGTTGTAGCCATTAGAGACTGTAGTTCCTAGTTGGACAATGTTTTCTCCTTGAACATGTGACTTTTATGAATACTAGCCGCAATATACCACGCATATCGTGAAATATTAACACTCCCGCGAACGTGAAGCGGTATTGAGTTGTCGTTCTTGACTACAACAAGCCGAATTCGTCGCCCGGACGGAGACACAGTTTCATGTTATTCGTAAGTTCTTTCTCGTTGATTGTGAAGTAAGTGTACTGTTTTTACATCAAGAAATTATTCAAAACTCATATGCGCTCATATTTTAGCATGCGAAGCTCTGAATTTGTCGTGACAAATACCGGGGTAAGAAATTCCCTTTGTTGGAATTTCCCGACTCTAAATTAGATCGAAATGACGACATTTGCTTTGTTCAAGCGATTTAATTGGTTGGTATAATAAGATGATGGATAATCGTCCTACGTCATTTTAAAAGTAATATGCGATTGGCTGAGAAAAAGAAAAGTTATAAACGCGAAACCACGGAAACCCCTGCAAGGCGTACTCTCGGTATACAGTCACGGACTATCTCCTGACTTCACGATGACCTTTTTTGACGGTGAAATTCCGTTTGCTTTTAAATTAGAAATTAATTGCACATTTTCATGAATACTTCAGCTATAATTCGCCGAAAGTAATAGAGTTAATTTTTCATCGATAGCGGACGGAAAACTCAACAAACTCGGGCTTTCATGCACAAGAAACTGTTCACTCGCCAAGAACAGTAACTCTGTATATATCTCAAAGGACAAGTATTTCCCGCTATGCGGCCCCGCAGAAGTTTTCTTCAGCTCTATTAGTTGAAACGTCAGACTAGTAGATCAGAGATCACAGGTTCGAATCCTAACGGACCCGTTGAACTATGATAATAAACTCTGTTACAGTGTGAGAGTTGTAGATGACGGGGAAGATTCCCAATAACCCATTCGTTCTTCAACCTGTTTGACAGATTTACCCTAAAAGCCAAGACTTTGTAACGCCGTACTAAGCTAAATTTTGACCATTTTACCAACTGCCTTAGGATATGTCTATTCAACAAGGTGTCGCTTGTAAACAGTTGCAGTAAGCAATATAATCCTACATGAAATAATTTGCTAAGACAAGGACTTATACTATATCCTTGCATATAGCCATTGTGTGTGAGGATCAAAATATTTTCATTTTCTCTCATAATATTTTTTTCTGGGTATTCTTTTGCATGGTGTAAAGGAAACATTTCCTGTGTCAAATTATTTCGGCAAGCGTCATATTTACGTGGACGTAATTTGTAACTTACAGTGACGTGCCTTCTGTCTCTTACTCTATCTATGATATATTCTTTTTTCTGGAATTTTCTTGACTTCGTTTAAGGATGGATTTTTAGAATATTTATCTATTTTGTGCAAGGAAACATTTTCCTTTATACTGGCATTCCGAAAATACAAATAAATTATTATTTACGAAAAACAATTGAAATAATACGAGATGAAGAGGGAAACAATTGTCAATACGTGTACAAAATATGATTAAAGATCCAAGTCAGGAAAATTCATCGAAAATGCTTAGAAATACAAAGATTACATAGAAAAATATCTAAATGATAAAGTATCATATTATACCTACTTTTTGTCAAATTCTATCGACACCTTTTAAGATTTATCTCTGGTAAGGTGTGAGTGAATGACAGAAATATGCAACAAATGTTTGGCACATATGACCGACGCATTAACAAAGGAAATGCTATGGTGATATTTTAACATGCCGATTTTGTGAAGGTGTTGATGGTGCTTCAGTTTTGACAATCCTTTCTGTTTTCTCTTGTAGAACAACAATTTACGATGTTTATCACTTCTTGAAGTGTGAGCTGTATCACAAGGAGGACGATGGCCACGTGTACTTCAAATCCATTCGCGGTAAACTATTCACAAATTAACTATCTTTTAATAAATACAAGCTATATAACTTTAGGGATGCTAGTTTTTAACAAATTTCAAATTTCCTGAGACAAGATGTTTTTAATCATAATAATTATCATGTTACGTTTTATTTAATTTCCTAACGAGCGGGAATAAGTCATCCAGCATATTCACTTATCTTTGTATTATTCTATCTTTAATAGCAGTGCCGTTAATTAGAAAGGACATTTGAAAATACTTCTGGATGCCAATGAGTGGGTGAGGAATGAACATGTTGCTTTAGGTTCGCTTTCAGTGTGAATTAAATATATTGATAGTTGTATTGCGTTTATTGATAATAAACTCTGCAGAAAGTAACAATGTGTGGAGCGGAAATCAGGCCTGGTGCATTTAGGTAGACCACATTTCCTTTAAAAATTAAAACGAAAACATTTTTATAATTTTATAAGATAATTTGTGATCTGTCTTTTAATTGGCGTAAGTCTGCAAAAGTGTTATTCCTCACTAGTGAAAAATAGTACTTTTATCAATGAGATATTTCTCTATATTTCAATGACAAGAATGTAATAAAATAGATTTATCTTTTCGCATGGACTCCAAATTATCTCATAAAAGCTGATAATGGAAATATTTATAAATTCTTTTTAATATTCAAATGCTGATGCAATTAAAAAAGATGGTGGAGGTTTCGCATTTGGACCTTATTTGACTTTTAAAAAATCAAAATGATAAATAGATAAAATTGCCTCAATTTGGCGAAATTCAATTTTACTTGAAAGTAAAGCATAGTAAACCAGGTTGCTTCCTCATGTATTTTAACTCCAAAATTCGCACCTGCAAAGTATACGTTCTCAAATTTATTTATGCAAAGAACAGGACGAGCTGATTAAATCTAGAAAGAATAAATACTCAGACTTGTGGTAAAGAAGTGCTGCCTTTTCACACATCTCAGCAAACAGAGCGTCAGAGTTAACACGTGAACCAAGATTACTCGATTTTTGTGACAAATTCTTGGAATTTTATTCATAACCAACTGCCGAAAATATTAACTTAAAAAACGGGTAAGTCATTAAGTAACTTTTGTTTAAAGTTCTGAAGTTATTCAGAAGTTGCTTATTTTTAAAAACAGATCCGTTTCAAGTGGAGAACCTGAAGAACATCGAGTGTAATGTTTGTCAACCGAAAGTGCAAGAAGACACAATACCGTCACGCCTCCTTCAAATGGGTATGTCAAGGGAGGCAACTCCAAAGTTAAAATCCAAATATCCAAATGATGAACAATAACTTTAGATATTATTTAGCATGTCCAATAAATGTACGTTTTAATATGTTTCTGAGATGCACTCTTTGTTTATAAAGTAATGTCGTGATTGTTTGTCTTCCATATAAGATATTGTCGAACTTCGTTATTTCAAATTTGTACATCTAGAAGACCCCGTTTAATTCGAAGCATTTCGTTAGTCTCCGTCAAACTTCACAAAAACATGACAACTCACTTCAATCGAATACTCGGTTATCTCGATTTTTCACGTCGGCCCCGCCGATTTCGAGATAACAAAGTTAGATTGTTTGTCGAATTTCTGACTCTATGACTACGACAATGTAGGGCTATTAAAAAGTGACTTTCGTTGAATTATATGTCAACGATTACATCTCTACAAAATCGGGGATATATCAGTTGTTCTCGTCTCTATCAGTGCCTATCGCCTTCATGTAATCCTGTGCTGATTTGTTCCTTCATTCGTGTATAACTCCTTGATTTCACCATAGACTGGTCCATTCAGTGGTCTATCACGCCCCTTACCTTCATGTAGATCTCTTTGAGTAGGGATACTATCGTCATCAGATCTTTGATTGGTCCATAAACCAGTAGATATCATCTTCATTTGACAATAATTGGTTCGTTCATCAGTAGATATCGCCTTCAATTGACAATAAATTGGTTCGTTCATCAGTAGATATCGCCTTCAATTGACAATAATTGGTTCGTTCATCAATGGATATCGCCTTCAATTGACAATAATTGGTTCGTTCATCAGCAGAAATCGCCTTCAATTGACAATAATTGGTTCGTTCATCAGTGGATATCGCCTGCAATTGACAATTATTGGTTCGTTCATCAGTGGAAATCGCCTTCGATTGACAATCAACTGGTTCGTTCATCAGTAGATATCGACTTCAATTGACAATAAATTGGTTCGTTCATCAGTAGATATCGCCTTCAATTGACAATAATTGGTTCGTTCATCAGCAGATATCGCCTTCAATTGACAATATATTGGTTCGTTCATCAGCAGAAATCGCCTTCAATTGACAATAATTGGTTCGTTCATCAGCAGAAATCGCCTTCAATTGACAATAATTGGTTCGTTCATCAGCAGAAATCGCCTTCAATTGACAATCATTGGTTCGTTCATCAGTAGATATCGCCTTCAATTGACAATATATTGGTTCGTTCATCAGTGGAAATCGCCTTCAATTGACAATATATTGGTTCGTTCATCAGTAGATATCGCCTTCAATAGGCAATATATTGGTTCGTTCATCAGTAGATATTGCCTTCAATTGACAATAATTGGTTCGTTCATCAGTAGATATCGCCTTCAATTGACAATAATTGGTTCGTTCATCAGTAGATATCGCCTTCAATTGACAATAATTGGTTCGTTCATCAGTAGATATCGCCTTCAATTGACAATAAATTGGTTCGTTCATCAGTGGAAATCGCCTTCAATTGACAATAATTGGTTCGTTCATCAGTAGATATCGACTTCAATTGACAATAATTGGTTCGTTCATCAGTAGATTTCGCCTTCAATTGACAATAATTGGTTCGTTCATCTGTAGATATCGCCTTCAATTGACAATAAATTGGTTCGTTCATCAGTGGATATCGCCTTCAATCGACAATAAATTGGTTCGTTCATTAGTAGATATCGCCTTCAATTGACAATAATTGGTTCGTTCATTAGTAGATATCGCCTTCAATTGACAATAATTGGTTCGTTCATCAGTAGATATCGCCTTCAATTGACAATAATTGGTTCGTTCATCAGTGGATATCGCCTTCAATTGACAATAAATTGGTTCGTTCATCAGTAGATATCGCCTTCAATTGACAATAATTGGTTCGTTCATCTGTAGATATCGCCTTCAATTGACAATAAATTGGTTCGTTCATCAGTAGATATCGCCTTCAATTGACAATAAATTGGTTCGTTCATCAGTAGATATCGCCTTCAATTGACAATAAATTGGTTCGTTCATCAGTAGATATCGCCTTCAATTGACAATAATTGGTTCGTTCATCAGTAGATATCGCCTTCAATTGACAATAAATTGGTTCGTTCATCAGTAGATATCGCCTTCAATTGACAATAATTGGTTCGTTCATCAGTAGATATCGACTTCAATTGACAATAATTGGTTCGTTCATCAGTAGATTTCGCCTTCAATTGACAATAATTGGTTCGTTCATCTGTAGATATCGCCTTCAATTGACAATAAATTGGTTCGTTCATCAGTGGATATCGCCTTCAATTGACAATAATTGGTTCGTTCATCAGCAGAAATTGCCTTCAATTGACAATAATTGGTTCGTTCATCAGTAGATATCGCCTTCAATTGACAATAAATTGGTTCGTTCATCAGTGGATATCTTCATGATCGATCCATTTGATATTGGAATTTGTAGCCCTAGATCGTAATACTCTAGTTGCTTCAAGTTGTCGGTATAGATATCTTGAACCTGATCGACATCGACTTTTCTGTTTTCCAAGTGAATGAAACGTCGTCGCCGACCGGTACTGGCAACAATAAGTTTTGGTGTTCGGATCCAGACTGTACCTTGTGCCCAGTTGAACGTGAATTGGAGGAGAACTCCGAGAAGTTGAGAGATGAAGCACGTTCTTTACGGTATCTACTGCGACAGTGGCTGGCAGATAAACGAGAAGGAGAGTAAGACATTTGCGCCATGTCTCTCACCTCAAAAAACAAACGAAATACCTTATCATGATTGCTTTTCATGCTTGTTTCCCCTAGTTTTTAACTGCACTTTCGCAAATCTTTGATGTAGAAATTATATCGTCACGCCGTCATAATACCCGAGTAAATTATAAACTGATGTTCGTAGATCTTGGATTTAGTGCATGACAGGAATTATTAAGGAGAAAACAAAACGAAACAGAAACATAAATACATGTCAAGGTTTAATGAAAACCTTCATTCCCAAACGGAAGTATTTGACTTTTTTGTTTTTGTTTTTGTTTTCTTGTAACATGATGATGATGAAGATGATTATGGTAATGGTTTCTCGTCTCCGTGTGTCGATTCTCTGGTGTCTGGAGAACAATATATACGTATCACAAGTCATTATATAACATGTAAACGGGCTTATAACTTGATGATACTGTGAAATTATTAAATTTCGCGGGCATTAATATCCACGATTTCACATATCCACGAACTGTTGAAATTAGAGTAAGTAGATTTATTTAGATATATTTATCGTCGAAATCACGTGTCCATGAAATAATATTTCCATGTAACAACCACGAAATTGAGCCTGGGTTGGCAATACAGTGGATACTTTCTGTTAAATCTATCCTATTATATTTAAAAACTGAAGACATAAGGTCCTTATTGTGTAGTTCGCAGTTTGGATGAACGGTATATGCTTATATATGCTTTTGCGGAGTTATTTTGTTATAGAATAAAAATTCTTGTAATACAACAGTGAGGGAAATGAATTTGAAGTTTCGATGACTACACGATCACCTTCATCAGCGCAAAGCATACTAGCACTGACGTACGTAGTGTACGAGATGGTAAGGAATCGACCAACTATTCGGTTGTAATATTATCCGATATGCATAAAGGTCGAAAATAGTGTGACGAGAAGGGTAAACAGATCCTTTGTCTGTGATTTGCAGTTCTCGTAATGGCTAACGTTATGCAACATGAAGAGGAGTTCTTCAATAGACAAAGAGACACAGATATGTAAAGAAAAGTAAAAACTGAAGCTTCCAGAGGTTGAAATGGAGACACCCTTTATTGAATCTGCAAGAGGTGAACGCCTGCAAGGAAGCTCAGGAGAAGAAAATGAGTTTTTTTCCGATTGACTGCGAATAAGGCACAATTAACTGTCTCTCTCTCTGTCGGCATTTACCTGTAGGTTTTATCCTTTCTGTGGCATTATTATACATCCTGTTACTATTTTATCATTTCATGTGTCCATCTCAAAATATTGTAAATAAAATGAGCATTTAACTTGAACAGACTCAAGCATTTTAAATAAAGAGTGGTTGATACATTCTTATTGTTTCTTAGCAACATTTAACTTTATATATTGATGTATTAATCAAAGGAAAAATTCACTATCCAGCATTGAAAATGTTTACCACAAAAATATAAAAATGCCAACACGTGATAAATTATAAAGAAGTAAACTTGACAAGAATACGACCGTCAAAATGCCTGGAACACTGCATGATCAACACTGACAGAAAACACCAACCCTAAAACTGATATGTTGAGGGCTGGAGATATAGTACATGACATTGTTTATGTTTTAAATGTGCCACCCGTAGAAATTTGATCTCTCACAAAATTAAAAAAAAAAGAAAAAGAAATTGTAATATATATGAAGAATATACAGTTTTGTTTGTTAAGATGTATTTATTGTTAAGTAGAATAGGGTCAGACACAAAATTCAATTTCATTGATAAGTGATTATAATATGTGGAAGGAGCATTTAACCTAGTAATTGTATATTTCCTCTCGTGCTAGGTATACAGGCGCCTGTTTATTTAATGTCTTGCTGCAAAATTATTAATTTCCATGGGGTTATGTTTTTTCCAAAATCATGGTTACTCTTAATCCACAAATTTAGGTTCATGAATGAAAAACGGCTCAAAATTGACAGATATTTAATGCTAAAGGATTTCGTAAATAAAAATTATCCACGAAATCAATTACCAACGAAAATGCATATTTTGGAACCACGAAATTTGAGCTCCACGAAAATATCTGATTTTACAGTAGCTGGTATGGTTTTGATTTACATTCCATTGAGACAGGTATCACAGGTTTATTCTAAAGAGCTATTTCAATGATCAGCAGGCCTTAATGTCATAATCTGGACAGAGTAGAATTACACACTATCGGACCATTTATAATGACTACCGGGATATTTTTCATAGCGTCATCATACTGAAATGTGATAACTTGGACACTTTAGAATTACACCAAATCTCGCATGGATATGGTAGAATGACGGATAGACGGTCATGTTATACTGACTACCAGGACATTATTATAGTGTCATCACACTGAACTGTCATAATTTGGACACTTTAGAATTACACCAACTTTCGCATGGACATTATGGTCATCACACTGAACTGTCATAACTTGGACACATTAGAATTACACCAAAGCTCGCATGGATATGGTAGAATGACGGATAGACGGTCATGCTATACTGACTACCAGGACATTATTATAGTGTCATCACACTGAACTGTCATAACCCAGACACGAACGAATGATACCCATCCGATCACGGATATATATACAGTATATGAACCACATTATACACATATCAATATAACGGATCAGATAAAATACAAATCGATGTTTTTGATAAAGCAAAAATATTATACTATTACAATACATTATCTCTAATATCAATCTGATATATTCAATACAAGTGTTATTTTTCACCGTACCATGCTATTTTGGCCATTGATAAATGCCTTATGTATTGAATGTTGAGAAGGTATATATAACATATACCCAGCTATACACTTTACTATATCGGTAAAGTCAACAATTACTTATGCATAAAGCTATATACACCCCAACAACCTAATAAATTGAAAATAATTGCTTTCCAAAAAAAAAAAAAAAAAACGATTTATGTACTAAAGAACACAATGAAGACGGTTCCGTTCGTATGTCTGATTCAATATATATTCATGAGTCATGTGTCAATAACAGTGTGTCATTCTTAAACAAAACTTAAACGAGGAGTATTATCCCTGCTAGATTTGTAGATGAGGCCAACAAAAAGTAATAATTCGGTTCTATTTGAAATAGTTTCTGATATGCGTCGATAGTGTACGAATTACTTTCATCATTATTAAAAAGAGGACTTTATTGAATTGAGGTCGGCTTCATCAACCTGTCTACCTAAAATTCGATATTTGTAACGATCAGTTTTGGTTTTACTGGGTTTTATCGTAGATTTCATCCATCGAGGCATCACTGGGTAGATGGACGAAATAGCTGTTTCATCTGATTTATTACTATTTGGTTATAATATTTCTAATTTTAAAGTAACACTCAAAGAAGTCATTTACTCTTGTGTCTTTTTTTTCCTAAATCTCCAGAAAAACAAAAGGGAATGTGATATAAAAATTATAAAATATGAACAATAATAGAACTATCTTTTACTGTATTGTATCTGAGTTTTTGGAGCATCCATTAGTGGCAATAAAAATGATATAAAAATCATTAAAAAGTCCGACGCGCTAACAGTAAAGGAGAACTCATTAGAAATTATTTTAAACGTCTCACATTTATTACAGATGAAAGACGGACAGAAGACAACATATACAATTACACGGACCGAAAAACAAGAAGATAGACAAACTGTCAAACAGAGTATAGGACATATTAGCAGTAAGAATGACGGAAAAAGTGAAAAGAACAACCTTAGGACAGACAGACAGCTAACCGGACGGACAGACTTACAGACAAACAATAAGGCAGACAGACAGACAATAAGACAGATAGACAGACAATAAGACAGATAGACATACATATAGATACACATATAGACAGACAATAAGACAGACAATAAGATAGACAGACAATAAGACAGACAGACAATAGGACAGACACACTATAAAACAGAGAATAAATCAGACAGAGACAATAAGACAGACAGACAGAAAAAAATATGTATTAGATTTTAAAATGATAAGTTCAACAAACATACAAACATTGGGGCACTAATACAAACCCAAAGAAGCAAAAACATAATTGTATATGGCCTAAAATAATGTTACCATCCCTACAGAAGTTAAATAATGTCGTAACTTCCTATTTACCTAGTGTCTGCTACACAAATAAAGATTTACAACGATATTACGGGGGCATCAAACGATCACGTGACCTTGTAAAGTTACGGGTCAGATGTTCTCTACCAATTGGAGAACATTACATGTCAAGCATTCATAATCAAAGCAGTCAATGTTTAAATCATACCCATATTTCTCCCGCTGTCCTATACGTAATGCGTTAGGTTTCAATTGATACATTTTAATGTGAATTCGCCGGTAAATTATATTCGGTACAAATTTCGATTTTTTTCCCTTATCATTTCTCTCTTTGTACATTGTGATGTGGAAAGTATATTTCATCTACCACCTGTGAATAAACAATAAATAAAACCAGTCAATTAAACCTGTCAATGGGAATGCCGTCCCTTAAAGTACAATTGACTCAGTATTTAGGTGTGACACTGACAGGAGCACAAGGGAGCTTGTCATTTGCTGGTGTATGTCGCTTTCATGAGGACATAATTGGTTACAAAATAAACACATCAGTGATATTTCCATTCAGCCGGAATTTCTAGACTGATGAACGGACGTTTTTAAGAAAAGCATAATGTTATAGATATAATGTACCTCATTCTGAACGATAATATCCAACAGTAAAATAAAAAAGACGATAAATGCAATGTACTTTGGGGATGAAAACGTGAAAACTTTGAATAACAAGTAATAGTATTTAGTATGCACTAATTGTCGATCGTTGTCTACATGAAAGATTGTTGACTTAAATTTATCTAAAACTGAATAAAAAAATAAATAAATAGAATAAATCTATGATAAAAAAGGAAAATAAATATAATTGAAATGTAAATCATTAGATTTAAATAACGATAACTGAATTTAGAATTTTAGAATAATATAAAAACAGCTAGGTATTTTTTGATAAATAGATAAAAAGCGAGACTACTAAAAAGGTCATTTAAATCATAAATCAATGATAAGTTTGCGAAGAACTTGTTTTATTTATGCTCAAACATGATTTCAGTGTATAGTGCTGTTTTGAATGACAAAGATGATCTAGTCTTAACCCTGTTTTGACGTTGTGGAATATATTTTTTTATTATAATTTAGAACATAAAACAGAAATAACAGTAAAGAATATTAAATGACAAAATAAATTAAAAAGAATATTGCCATAAATGAATTTCCAAAGTGATGAAGAACTGGTTTTATTCTAAAATCTAAATACTTTAAAGTAATAAAATACCCATTTAACTGGATCCGTCCATCTATGGTGTTTTCAGTGTTGTGTTTCACGATATACTTCGCCGAATATTCTGTTTGAAGTATTGTTAGCTTTATACAACTTGTTTTTCCTTAAATTAAAAAAAATATAAATATGCCCATTACAAAACAAGCGAAATATTGTGGGGTTTTTTTTATCGCAATCAGTTTCATTTAAATTCAAGTAACTGGTGATTATAATAATTTCATTAACGATTTTCAAAACCATACCAACAATGAAAGTTTTAGTAAAATGAAAAAAATAATATGATGTTGGTTAAATAACAGAACTTTACGTTGTGGTGCAAGTAAAAAGTAGTTGTATAGAATTGGTCCATGTGAGAAAACACCTGTTGTTAGAAACGATGAAGTTTCATCTCTGGAGGGAGCCAAATACGAATAGAACTGATATAAGGAAAGTGTCGTATTTCACCAAGCAGGTATTTCTGATACAATACCTGTGCTATCGTCGTCAAACGTACTGTCGAAATTGTGTTTTCACGCATGAAAAGGCGCTGTTAACTCCTTTTCGCTTTTGTGTTTCGAGGCAGAAGTAGAGTGGACCTGGTTGGAAAACAAGCACACTCGTATTCAGTGTTCTGATGTGTTAATGAAGGATTTTAATACACGCAGGTAAGTAGTGTCTTAATGATG